GACCAGGTAAACTGGACCAAATCAATGCAGATCCTAAAGGAAACAGATATCGATTGGCGTGAAAGAAGATTGATTAGCAAATTGTACATGGATCAGAAAGTTAGAGTATGACGGGACAGAGGGGAGACAGGAAGTGTGCAGATTGAAAGAGGAATTCGACAAGGCTGCTGTTTATCACCAATTTTGTTCAACTTTTACAGCGAATGTCTTACCAAGGAAGCTCTGGATGGGCTCGGAGAGTTCAAAGTAGGAGGGCAAATTATTCAAACTGTGAAATATGCAGATGTCCTTGTGTTAATGGCTAAGGAAGAAACTGTGCTACAAGGCATGATTGATAGACTGATTGAAATTGGAAGGTGCTATGGCATGGAAATGAATGTGGAAAAAANATGGAGAAGATCAGTTGGACCGATTATGTGAGAAATGAAGAAGTGTTAATTAGAGTCAGTGAGCAGAGGAATATCCTACACAAAGTAAGAAAACGGAAGGCTAATTGGATTGGTCATGTTTTACGCAGAAACTGCCTTCTAAAAGAAGTTATTGAAGGAAAGATAGAGGGGCGGATAGAAGTGACAAGAAGATGTAAGAAGATGCTGGATGACCTTGGGGACAGAAGAGGATGCTGTCATTTGAAGGAGAAAGCTCTAGATCGCATTAAGTGGAGGAATTGTTTTGGAAGAGACTGTGGACCTGTCATCTTGACAGATTACTGATGATGATGATCACTGCTATCAACTTCATATAAAATTTTGTCCAATATTCTTCTTTCAAGGTTAAGTCCATATATAGATGAAATTATTGGGGATCATCAGTGTGGGTTTCGACGTAACACATCAACTACAGAACCTGATTCAGGAGGAAATTAAGGGGAGATTGAACTTGGATACTGCTTGCTACCATTCAGTCAAGAAGCTTTTGTCATCTTGTCTGCTGTCTAAAACTATAATTTTGCCTGTGGTTCTGTATGGGTGTGAAACTTGGTCTCTGACATTATGGGAGGAACATAGACTGAGGGTGTTTGAGAACAGAGTGTTGAGGGGAATATTTGGACTGAAGAGAAATGAAGTGACAGGAGGTTGGAGAAAACTGCATAATGAGGAGCTTCACAACTTGTACTCTTCTCCAAGTATAATTAGAATGATCAAGTCAAGGAGGATGAGATGTGCAGGGCTTGTAGCCAGAATTGGAGAGAAGAGGAATGCATATAGGATATAGATGGGAAAACCAGAAAGAAAGGGACCACTGGGAAAATGAAGATGTAGCTCAGTGGATAATATTAAAATGGATGATAGATAGGAAGGGATGACATGGATTGGATTTATCTGCCTCAGGATAGGGATCATTGAAGGGCTCTTGTGAACAAGGTAATGAACCTCTGGGTTTCATTAAATGCTGGGAAATTCTTGAGAAGCTGCACAACTGGCAGCTTCTCAAGAAGGGCTCAGCTCCATGAGTGAGTGAGTGAGTGAGTGAGAGGTGTCAAGCAAACAGTTACCTTATCCCCATGAAAAGTGTGTACAGAGGAAGGCATCTCAAGTGAATCTCTTATGATTTGGATATTACTGTTGTTGGGGTTTCACGGTAGTTAATTGTTGATATTACTTTCATTTTTGTGTTGTTGCACTGCCTGGATATACGTGATGCTTACGTTGGCAACATCACCGACATCCACACAGTTTTGTATGTTAATTGAATAATGATAGTAAACGAAAATTATTTGTTTTTTTTTTTNAGAGTGAGTGAGTGAGAGTGAGTGGGTGGGTGAGTGAGTGAGTGAGTGAGTGAGTGAGTGAGTGAGGGTGAGTGAGTGAGTGAGTGAGTGAGTGAGTGAGAGTGAGTGAGCGAGAGTGAGTGAGTGTGAGTGAGTGAGTGAGTGAGTGAGTGAGTGAGTGAGTGAGTGAGTGAGTGAGTGAGTGAGTGAGTGAGTGAGTGAGTGAGTGAGTGAGTGAGTGAGTGAGTGAGTGAGTGAGTGAGTGAGTGAGTGAGTGAGTGAGTGAGTGAGTGAGTGAGTGAGTGAGTGAGTGAGTGAGTGAGTGAGTGAGTGAGTGAGTGAGTGAGTGAGTGAGTGAGTGAGTGAGTGAGTGAGTGAGTGAGTGAGTGAGTGAGTGAGTGAGTGAGTGAGTGAGTGAGTGAGTGAGTGAGTGAGTGAGTGAGTGAGTGAGTGAGTGAGTGAGTGAGTGAGTGAGTGAGTGAGTGAGTGAGTGAGTGAGTGAGTGAGTGAGTGAGTGAGTGAGTGAGTGAGTGAGTGAGTGAGTGAGTGAGTGAGTGAGTGAGTGAGTGAGTGAGTGAGTGAGTGAGTGAGTGAGTGAGTGAGTGAGTGAGTGAGTGAGTGAGTGAGTGAGTGAGTGAGTGAGTGAGTGAGTGAGTGAGTGAGTGAGTGAGTGAGTGAGTGAGTGAGTGAGTGAGTGAGTGAGTGAGTGAGTGAGTGAGTGAGTGAGTGAGTGAGTGAGTGAGTGAGTGAGTGAGTGAGTGAGTGAGTGAGTGAGTGAGTGAGTGAGTGAGTGAGTGAGTGAGTGAGTGAGTGAGTGAGTGAGTGAGTGAGTGAGTGAGTGAGTGAGTGAGTGAGTGAGTGAGTGAGTGAGTGAGTGAGTGAGTGAGTGAGTGAGTGAGTGAGTGAGTGAGTGAGTGAGTGAGTGAGTGAGTGAGTGAGTGAGTGAGTGAGTGAGTGAGTGAGTGAGTGAGTGAGTGAGTGAGTGAGTGAGTGAGTGAGTGAGTGAGTGAGTGAGTGAGTGAGTGAGTGAGTGAGTGAGTGAGTGAGTGAGTGAGTGAGTGAGTGAGTGAGTGAGTGAGTGAGTGAGTGAGTGAGTGAGTGAGTGAGTGAGTGAGTGAGTGAGTGAGTGAGTGAGTGAGTGAGTGAGTGAGTGAGTGAGTGAGTGAGTGAGTGAGTGAGTGAGTGAGTGAGTGAGTGAGTGAGTGAGTGAGTGAGTGAGTGAGTGAGTGAGTGAGTGAGTGAGTGAGTGAGTGAGTGAGTGAGTGAGTGAGTGAGTGAGTGAGTGAGTGAGTGAGTGAGTGAGTGAGTGAGTGAGTGAGTGAGTGAGTGAGTGAGTGAGTGAGTGAGTGAGTGAGTGAGTGAGTGAGTGAGTGAGTGAGTGAGTGAGTGAGTGAGTGAGTGAGTGAGTGAGTGAGTGAGTGAGTGAGTGAGTGAGTGAGTGAGTGAGTGAGTGAGTGAGTGAGTGAGTGAGTGAGTGAGTGAGTGAGTGAGTGAGTGAGTGAGTGAGTGAGTGAGTGAGTGAGTGAGTGAGTGAGTGAGTGAGTGAGTGAGTGAGTGAGTGAGTGAGTGAGTGAGTGAGTGAGTGAGTGAGTGAGTGAGTGAGTGAGTGAGTGAGTGAGTGAGTGAGTGAGTGAGTGAGTGAGTGAGTGAGTGAGTGAGTGAGTGAGTGAGTGAGTGAGTGAGTGAGTGAGTGAGTGAGTGAGTGAGTGAGTGAGTGAGTGAGTGAGTGAGTGAGTGAGTGAGTGAGTGAGTGAGTGAGTGAGTGAGTGAGTGAGTGAGTGAGTGAGTGAGTGAGTGAGTGAGTGAGTGAGTGAGTGAGTGAGTGAGTGAGTGAGTGAGTGAGTGAGTGAGTGAGTGAGTGAGTGAGTGAGTGAGTGAGTGAGTGAGTGAGTGAGTGAGTGAGTGAGTGAGTGAGTGAGTGAGTGAGTGAGTGAGTGAGTGAGTGAGTGAGTGAGTGAGTGAGTGAGTGAGTGAGTGAGTGAGTGAGTGAGTGAGTGAGTGAGTGAGTGAGTGAGTGAGTGAGTGAGTGAGTGAGTGAGTGAGTGAGTGAGTGAGTGAGTGAGTGAGTGAGTGAGTGAGTGAGTGAGTGAGTGAGTGAGTGAGTGAGTGAGTGAGTGAGTGAGTGAGTGAGTGAGTGAGTGAGTGAGTGAGTGAGTGAGTGAGTGAGTGAGTGAGTGAGTGAGTGAGTGAGTGAGTGAGTGAGTGAGTGAGTGAGTGAGTGAGTGAGTGAGTGAGTGAGTGAGTGAGTGAGTGAGTGAGTGAGTGAGTGAGTGAGTGAGTGAGTGAGTGAGTGAGTGAGTGAGTGAGTGAGTGAGTGAGTGAGTGAGTGAGTGAGTGAGTGAGTGAGTGAGTGAGTGAGTGAGTGAGTGAGTGAGTGAGTGAGTGAGTGAGTGAGTGAGTGAGTGAGTGAGTGAGTGAGTGAGTGAGTGAGTGAGTGAGTGAGTGAGTGAGTGAGTGAGTGAGTGAGTGAGTGAGTGAGTGAGTGAGTGAGTGAGTGAGTGAGTGAGTGAGTGAGTGAGTGAGTGAGTGAGTGAGTGAGTGAGTGAGTGAGTGAGTGAGTGAGTGAGTGAGTGAGTGAGTGAGTGAGTGAGTGAGTGAGTGAGTGAGTGAGTGAGTGAGTGAGTGAGTGAGTGAGTGAGTGAGTGAGTGAGTGAGTGAGTGAGTGAGTGAGTGAGTGAGTGAGTGAGTGAGTGAGTGAGTGAGTGAGTGAGTGAGTGAGTGAGTGAGTGAGTGAGTGAGTGAGTGAGTGAGTGAGTGAGTGAGTGAGTGAGTGAGTGAGTGAGTGAGTGAGTGAGTGAGTGAGTGAGTGAGTGAGTGAGTGAGTGAGTGAGTGAGTGAGTGAGTGAGTGAGTGAGTGAGTGAGTGAGTGAGTGAGTGAGTGAGTGAGTGAGTGAGTGAGTGAGTGAGTGAGTGAGTGAGTGAGTGAGTGAGTGAGTGAGTGAGTGAGTGAGTGAGTGAGTGAGTGAGTGAGTGAGTGAGTGAGTGAGTGAGTGAGTGAGTGAGTGAGTGAGTGAGTGAGTGAGTGAGTGAGTGAGTGAGTGAGTGAGTGAGTGAGTGAGTGAGTGAGTGAGTGAGTGAGTGAGTGAGTGAGTGAGTGAGTGAGTGAGTGAGTGAGTGAGTGAGTGAGTGAGTGAGTGAGTGAGTGAGTGAGTGAGTGAGTGAGTGAGTGAGTGAGTGAGTGAGTGAGTGAGTGAGTGAGTGAGTGAGTGAGTGAGTGAGTGAGTGAGTGAGTGAGTGAGTGAGTGAGTGAGTGAGTGAGTGAGTGAGTGAGTGAGTGAGTGAGTGAGTGAGTGAGTGAGTGAGTGAGTGAGTGAGNCTTGCAGGTGGTAATGATAACAGGTGACAATCCTCTCACTGCTTGCCACGTAGCCAAGGAGCTGCGCTTCACTCAGAAACCAAAAACTTTAATTCTTACTGAATCAGGGAATGGGAGTTGGGTATGGGAGAGCATTGACCAGTTGCTCCGTTTACCAGTCTTGCCACAGAAGACTTACAAGGAATTAGTATCAAAATATGATCTCTGTGTGACGGGAGAGGTAAGTTATATTACAGTATCTCTGGAAATTGTTTGAGACAAATTTCTGTAACAAATAATGATTTTCTTCTTTTCTCAGGGCTTGACCTTCCTGAGTGACCACCATAGACAGTTCTTGTATCAAATTCTGCCCCATATATCTGTCTTTGCGCGGGTTGCACCAAAACAGAAAGAATTTGTGATTGTAGCTCTTAAATCCCTTGGTTTTACAACCCTGATGTGTGGAGATGGGACTAACGATGTAGGGGCATTGAAACATGCAGATGTAGGTAAGGATAATATCCCTTATACTCGTAGTTCCTGTCACCACGTGTTACATATAATGTACTGAACAAGAACAAGAAAGTGCATATAAGAAATAGCATTAACATTATTTATTTGATATGAAGTTCTGTTGCTTACATTTTGATATAAAGTGGTAAAATTGTGACTGGTTTCTCTTTTGCTGAAGGTGTTGCAATCTTGTCAAATGCACCTGAGAAGTTATCAGAAAGGAAAAGGCCAGAAAGAGGGGATAGAGATCGCAGTAGAGGTCATGGTTCGGGAGGAACTAATCCTGGGTCACATGGCAGCTCAAGGCAGGTAAGTTAAGAAACTTCCACATTCTTTTATTTTATTGTTTATTTTGCAGATTCAAAACTTGTCTAGTCAACTAAGGCATTGTAAGAAGTAGTTGGAAGTTTTAGAAGTAAAGGATTTCTCATAATTTTAGATATTTTGAAGGCATGGCTCAAGAGAATTATGATCAAATTATTTTTCCTTGGTCTTCATTTTGAGTGGTGTTACATGCTTTTTAGAAATTGATCTATTCCTCAGTCCTTTAAGTCCATATTACATGGTGCAAACCAAAAGTTCCCGAAATATATTAATAAAAACTATTACATCTTACCTAGATCTTATTCTGCATCATCACCTTCAAAGTAGTCCCCTTGGTAGCACATACACCAATCCCAGCGTTTCTGCCAGTTTTCAAATGCATCCTGGAGGTCTTTCTTTCTTAGGGTGTTTAGTACCGTCTGTGTTTCCGCTTGAATTTCGTCAGCTGTATCAAATCTTCACCCCTTCAACTTGATTTTCATCTTGGGGAAGAGAAAGAAGTCCCATGGAGCTAAGTCTGGTGAGTACGGTGGGTGTGGAACAACTGCCATCTTGTTTTTAGCCAAAAATTCCTGCACAATGTAAGCCATATGCGGTCGTACGTTGTCATGGTGCAGTACCCAGTCGTTCGTGCGCCACTTCTCTTGACGTTTTCTCCTCATGTTCTCCCTCAAACACCTTAGAACATCGCAATAGAACTCTTTATTGACTGTCTGACCAGGAGGGACGAACTCCTTATGAACAATCCCGTCAATATAAAAAAAACAGATCAACATGGACTTAATGTTGCTCTTGACTTGTCAAGCTTTTTTCGGCCGAGGTGAAGAAGGGCTCTTCCATTGCAACATTTGCTGCTTACTTTCAGGGTCGTAGCCATAAACCCAACTTTTGTCACCAGTGACAACCTTCGAAAGAAAGTTTGGATCATCTTGAAGCTGTTGCTGAAGTTCCCTGCATACTTCCAAGCGATGCTGCTTCTGTTCATTTTGCAGCAGTAGTGGCACAGACTTCGCCGCAATCCTCCTCATGTTCAGTTCCTCTGACAGAATTCGTTGACATGTACCATAACTGAGTCCCAAGGTGTTACAGAGGTCTTGGGTGGTCAGTCTACGATCTTACAGAATCAGATCCCTAACTTTCGCGACACTTCCTGGTGTGGTGCCAGTTGACGGCCGTCCCGAACGATCGTCATCATTAGTCGATGTTCGGCCATTTTTGAAATGCTTATACCAGTCATAAGTTTGTGTCTGGCCTAAATTGTTGTCACTAAAAGCTTGCTTCAACATTTGGTGCGTTTCTGCAGCGGTTTTCCCAAGTTTGAAACAAAACTTTATACAGACACGCTGCTCTCTCAGGTCAGCCATCGCAAAACCGCAAACTCACGGAAGCACAACAATGGAAATACGTTCACCAACAATAAAGCCAACCACTCAACTTGATGCCGCTTGCCACACTGATTCAAGAAGGATGTGTGAGGAGACACCTAGCAGTATTTCGATGTAGTCGTAACAATTCTTGCACAAAATTCAAATTTTGGAAACTTTTGGATTGCCCCACATATATTAAAAAGGAATGTATTCCTCACACACATACGAGTACCTGTTTTTTATATTAACTAAGTTTATTTTGAAATGTCTCTTGAGAATGAAAATATGTGTAAGAAATTACTATAGAGTTCTATTGATTCTTTTTTCTTCAGGCCCTTACATTCTTGAGGGCAACAGTTCTTGTACCTGTAGGGCTTGAAAATGTATTAGAGAGATTGTCTAGATTATTACAAATTAAAGCAGCAGGAACCATGGTTGGATAGTGGACATTTAAAATTATTAGATCAAAGGATCAGGCTAAATTGCAGTTATTGCAGAATTTAAGCTAAATGATTGGCGATAATATGAACAAGTGTAAGACATGAACCTAGTAAACATATCAGGAACAAAGAAAGAGAACAGACTTGTAGTATAAAGGCATAACTGAATTTAGGAAAGTTACCAAGCTCCCCTACCATGGTGGCCCGGATTCGAACCTGGGTTTGGTCAAGTGGGATTTGTGGTGGACAAAGTGGCGCTGGGGCAGGTTTTCTCCAAGTACTTCAGTTTCCCCTGCCAGTCTTCATTCCACCAATTGCTCCACAATCACCCTCACCTATCGTCTGTGGCTGGTACAATAGGCCAGAAGTGGCCGCAGCACAAGGGACTTAGTCCCACCCCACTAGCAATAAGAAAAGCTCACCTAAATTGGTAAAGGATGAGAATGGTAATAAGCTTGCAGATTCCCACCTTACTTTGAATAGGTGGAAAAATTACTTCTTTCAGCTGATGGATGTTCATGAGATTAATAATTTTAGGCAGACTGAAGTAGGTCTACATACAGCTTAGCCATTTGCTCCTGAATCTAGCTCTTGTGAGGGTGAGACTGCTTTTGAAATGTTGAAGAGGTATAAATTCCCAGGTGTTTATCAAATTCTGGCAGAACTGTTCTGAACAGGAAGTAAAATATTGCAGCCTTAGGACCCATGAGCTTTTAATTCACTTTGGAATAGGGAACAATTTCCACAGCAATGGAAGATGTCACTTAAGGCTAATTCACACATACCAGACTCTGCTGCTATGACATTCATTAGCATGGATCAGTGTGAGGAGCATGTGATAATTGCATGTGGGCTGCTTCCTTCACAAGAGGAAAAGCGAGAAAAAGAAGGATAATGCTGGATCCATAACGGGTTTAGAACAGGGGAGGAGGAAGGAGAATTTTATGCTATTTTTGGATGGCTCAGAGATGATGGCTAGAAAAGTGTTAAGCTTGAAGTTTGAACATTTAAAGCATGTATTGAAAGGAAATATATTATAATGCTAGAAGAAAGACTGCTGTAACTTTGAAGTTACTGTAGCAAAAATACGCAATAAAAACTCACAGGCATTCCATCAAAATATTGTTTTTCGCCAAGTTTTGTACCAACTGAAGATTAACTAACTGGACACCCAGGGCAGTTGTGATGGAAAGGTTCCATGCTATATCATTAAAATTTGTGCATGAAGTACAGCATTCTTTGCACATACTAGAACAGTCATTTTACTCAAACTGTTATGTAAAAATTGAATAGAATACTGACGAATCAGATGATTCTCAGAATAATCCTGTAGTTACACCTGATACACTGTTTGCAGAATTGGAAAAGGAGTTAATTACTTCATTTTCTGAAGTGAGTGTTTCACATATTATAAGGAGATGACTCTAAGTAGTGAAAAATAGTTGTACTTGATAAATGGAAGTTAACAGGCATCATATGTTGTGAAGACTAACTTTCAAAATCACCGTATCACACTGGATCCAGGTGACTGTAGAGGAGCTGAAAATTTGATATTGAGCCAACTCTCTGAAGAATATGAGAGGCTTCTCCAAAAAGTCCAGTTCAACTGTATCAGCTCTGACTCTGGCAGAAAGAGTTAAGTTCATTCCTCTGATACCCTGTAGTGGGTAAGATAAGAGTTCAGTATGTCTCAGTACACTGTGAGAAAAGGAAGAGCCTTACAGGAAACTTGTGGCATTCTCCCTGAATTTAAAAAGAAGAAAGTTTGGTTTTTGTCTTGTGCTGTTCTTCAGTGATGAGTACAGTTATCTGAGTTGTGACAAGAGGGACTTCATGTCTCTGAAAAAAGCAACTTGAAGAAACCACACACCAAGAACATGTGAAAAAGAGGTAAGTATTTTGTAATCTTTCAGGAATTGTATGCGGCACAAGCACCCAACTGTTTCAGTTGGATTTTCCACAGTTGCTGAATTTTAGCCAAAACTCTGCATCCTTGCAGGCACAAAGGTCAACCATACAACACGTGTCTGTGTGATTCATCACAACATAATACTCATGGTGCAAGGAGCACATGTTACAGCTTATTTCAGTGCAAAAATGAAAACATGAAAAAATGGTGTGCTCAGCATCAGTGAGACATGCACTTTATCACTAGGGCCCGGATTTTTATGACCTAAAAACTATAAATATATGCATGCACTTATGACCCAAAATTATGTCAAATATGACCTAAAAAGTGTAAAATATGACCTTAAATATTAAATGGGACATAAAATTTCACAATTTTAATTAAAGATAAGAATAAAATAATTAAGAATAAANATAAACCCTAGGAAAAAAATATGACATGTCATAGAAATCCGGGCCATATTTATCACTATACAAGCTGCATAGGAACTGATGCACCGTGCAAGTTACTGTCTGCAGTGGACAGTTTTTAATTTAGAGGTGAATTCTCATACAAACAATGGGCAATGGCAGACCACACAGTATTAATGTCTGTTATTCCATGTAAAGAATTTGTTGACTGATAAAATTGAACAACCTTTTGGCCACATAGTTTTGTAACTGGACACCAGGCTCAAGTTCTAACCAGTGCAAAGAAAGTTTAAATGAATATGAATGCAAAATAAAACATTGAGATATCATCTGGAATACTCTGTCTCAAGTTTAGATTACCCAAAATTGAACCATAATTATGAGGAAAACTCAAAATAATATATTGGTTGTAGCATAAACTTGTAAAATTTGATGACAGTGAGGATGATGATGATGATGATGATGATGGAGGAAGAAGAGAAAGAGGCGGTGATGATGGTAATAATAATCTGTAACATATTTATAGCTGCAAATGATAAAAGAATTTTGATTTTCCTAGGGTCTGATCATAAACTGTGCGATCATGAATCCAGCATGATAACCCATGGGGTAAATTGTATATCCCTGCTGGATTATAAATGTGACATTAACAGTCAAATATATAGGACTGGAAGTCTGTGCTACAGGAAAGTACGCTTTATAAATTCTACATGGTACTTCTTGTTGTCAAGGGGAAGAATCACTTCTTTCTTGGTTGAAAATTATTTTTAAAGATAGAATGGATAGAATTTTCCTCTAGCTTAACTTTCCAATCTTCTGCCTCAATTTGTAAATTGAAAATGTAATTGTAATGCAGAATGCTGCTAATGCGACACATACCCAACTTCAGAAACTACTGAAAGAGATCGAGGAACAGGACCAAGCACCAATTGTGAAACTGGGTGATGCCAGCATTGCAGCCCCGTTCACATCAAAACTGTCCTCCATAATGTGCAGTAAGTAGTTCTAACAGCATTGTACAAATGTTTTCTGCTACATGCAGTTTTTTAACTGCACTAAGCAAGCTCATTAACGTTACTTTTTTCAGACTGAAGGAAAGTGTTGATTTCATTGTAATGCCTTTGATTCTGCTAAGAGTTTGTATATTATCTATCTTTCCAGTTTGCCATGTTATAAAACAGGGTCGGTGTACATTGGTAACAACATTACAGATGTTCAAGATTTTGGCATTGAATGCCCTCATTCTTGCATATAGTCAGTCAGTCTTGTACCTGGATGGGATCAAGTTCAGTGACATGCAGGCAACGCTACAAGGGTTACTGCTAGCTGCTTGTTTCCTGTTTATATCTAGATCAAAGGTAAACTGGTATTTCTATTGTCAGTCCCTTCAATAAGACTCTTACGCAGACAAAATATCCTCAATTTTGATTTATTATTAAGTTGTTTGAGAGTGTAAAGAGGCATGTTTATAGTGTAATTAATCAGTCCCAATGCTGAATTTGGATATCAACAAATTTATCAGTGGTGACTGATGAAATAAAAAAGTGTATGCCAAATGAATTATTGTGACCTATTAGGATGTACCCTATTTATTTTGATTTGGTCTGTTATTTACAAGGTCACTGTGTTTTTATGTATAAGATAAAGCAAGCTTGAATGACAACAAACCATAAATTAAATGTGGTTGGTAAGTTACAGTGTAGATCTCTAACAGAAAATTTAATGTAAATCCTTAAATAGTTTTGAAATTTTAAAAAGCCAGCCGAAGAATGGAAGGATTCTTAGACACGATCTAATAAGGCCTTTTTTGTGCACATAAACTGCACAGTGAGTAGAAATATAAACAGTGTACTTAAATTCATTTGTTTTTATATGCAGCCATTGAAGACATTGTCACGACAGAGACCGCTACCTAACATCTTTAATTTGTACACGGTTTTGACTGTACTACTGCAGTTTCTAGTCCACTTTATTTGTCTCATCTACTTAGTTCAACAAGCTACCATGAGATCACCACCAAAGTAAGTATTATACAAATATAAATACAAATATAAATCACTCCGTCCAATGTGACCTGTAAGTTTTTTACTACATGAAAACTCAACACCCTTACATGTTTCGGTCTCTGTGGACCATCTTCAGAGGGCAAACATCACTACAAATAGGAAACCACCATAACATAAGTTGTTTAGACTTAAAGTACGTACACTTATATGCTACAATACATAGTACACAAAATAGAACATTTCACAAACACAGCAGTTTCCTGGGAATCTAAAGTTTTTTATAAAATTGTATAAAATTTCTTGATGCTAATTAAAAATTTTTTGGATTGTCAGTAATTAAAATTCGTAAACCATGCAGGCTCGTGTTCGTCCTGCCATCGTCCCTCTTACATGGGGCAGATATTGTGCCACCTGGCTATCTTGATGTGGAGGTTCTGCAAATATATTATTGGTATTTTACTATTTCAATGTTAATACCGTCTATATATATATATATATATATGTTTGAGGTTATGTTATGTCCTACCTTTATAAGTTGAATCATTTAGGTTTAAAATATACAAAACTTAAAATTTTACCTCTTGTTTTATGTGGATATGAATTTTGGTTTCTTACCTCAGGGGAAGATCACAGGGTGAGGGTGTTTGAAAACAGGCTGGTGAGGAGGATATTTGAACCTAAGAGGAATGTAATGATAGGAGGGTGGAGAAAAATACATAGTGAGGAGCGACAATATCATACTACTTACAGAATAAAATTAGGACAATCAAATAAAGGATAACATTGTTGAGGAATGTGGAGTGCATGGGAGATGTCTGAAACACACACAGAATTTTGGCAAACCTGGGAAGAGACCACTTGTGAGACATAAGCATAGATGGGAAGATCATCTTAAAATATCTTGATAAACTGAACTCTAGATTTTAGAATAAATGCCTAAAAACTTACAGAACTTGCATACTTTTAAGGTAAGCTTATTATCTGCTGTGTAAATTCTGTCATCTTTCATCCTGTCTTGTTTCACAGTCATCAGAATAGCTAAACTCACTAGAATGGGCAGGCATCTGGCAGCTGTCAAAGTATAGGGTCCACTGGTTAGCTGTTGCAAACACAATAAATCTTCAGGTTCTGTAAGAAGTAAAGAATTTTTGTGGGTTGAGCGTTAATCAGTTTTTGAAGAAGGAAATAATTACGTATATTATACAGCAGAATTTTAATTCAGTTACAGTTTAGTCTTTGTCTCGCAAAGTACCCTTAAAATTATGGTCCTTATGTCAGTGTACTTCGCAGTGGCACACTAGTACTGTTCCCCCACTGCACCCCCTGTAGGTGTTTCTGACAACAGATTGTCAGGCCTGCTAGCTCTTATCAGTTGTGTGAGTGGCTACTGGCGGCCAATGCATCATCACCCTTGCTGCTAAAATATAAACAGCTTTATGAGTGCTTCCAAGCTGTGTAACACAGAGGACTGACATGCAAGATAACTGCTTGTGAATTAGAGGGAGAGCAAATAGAATTGGTATGCTCTCTGTTCTGTATCATAGACACATTTATATTTATGAAGTACAGAGGAAATAAACCTGGTATGATAAAGGTGAAGAAAATATTTTAATATTGGAAATTAACGTTATAGTCATACTTTTGTTATTCAGAGTCACTTGTACATGGTGAGCTTACAGGGAAGGTTTCCTATTTATTATTATTATATATGTTGTATTTTAGCGTCTTGTTGCACTGATTCATAGTGTGACATGTTGTGCAACAGAGAAACCC